CCTTTGAAATCGCTCTTGTTGACGTGATCTAATTATTTCAAAAGTTTTGATATTCCTGAGGCGTCAAAAATTCAGAACAGTTTTTTGTCAATACTGAAAAGGTAATAATCCGAGGTGTTAAGAACTGCCACGGTTTTTTATCATGGTACAATATTCATGTTTCATTTCTAACGTTCAGTGCTCTTTCGTATTTATTTTTATGTACGGCTTGTTCTCAATATTATCGGTTCGTTATGTTTCCTTTTTCGCGAGCCACGCGAGTCGCAAGGTTTTTCGTTTTTTTTCGATTCGCGCGAGTCAGGAGTCGCGCGAAGAGTTGGACTTCCGTTCATGGCAAGTCACGTGGTGTAGCTGGCGTTGATTCAATGAAAGTCAAGAAATACTTCATTGTGATCATGACCAAAAGCTCAGTTGAATGCGAAGCTGTGGTTTTGTTTGTCACGCGATCTGACTACGACGCGAGCGGGTAGACACCATGACCGTGGACTCCCTTTTGAGCTGATATTAAGATCTTGGGCAAGTCTTCCATGCGTTTTTCTTCCTTTTCGTTAAGGAAACACGAAACTTCCTTGACCTGATGTTCACTGATGTTTTCTGTTTTGATTTTAGGAAAATACAACCCAAGAGAGAGCTCCGACATTTTAATACTCTAACCTTTAGATGTCAGATTTACCTGAATTACCTTAAAATTCCTTGGATCAATGAAGTATGTCAGTACTTGTCGCAGACAGTTTTTTGAAAAATGAATTGTAAATATCATCCTAACTGTTTTTCTTGTGCGTGGATTTTTCTTCTCTGGACCATGCAAGATGCTTGTTTGATAGATAATACGAACGGTACGCACCGCAAACTGTGTTTGTAAATGATACTGCCTTGTTAAATAACCGAACATTGTGTTGATCAAATGTTATTCATGTCCAAGAACTGTTGTGTTTTATTGCCGTGACTTTGTTGTGTTTACGGCCCACCAAACTTGTCATAAACTGTAGTTTGCAGCTTAATTCTGTTCAGTAAACAGTAATAGTTCACAGTAAAATATGTATTCGCAACATTGTTTGTTAAAGGCATACACTGAGAAACAGATACCCAAGTGACTTGGTATTGTAATTGTTACATGGCCGCCGCATTTACAAGATCTTGTCATTTATAATGTTTATTCTTGTGTTCTTCCAACCTAAAGAAGCATGGTCGCTGTTTTCTTAGTTCTTTCCAATGAAAAGAGCTTCAATCAGTATTTGTATGGAACATGTGTTACACGTTGCTGTGTAAATGATCGAATGATTTATTATTCAAGAAACTACATTATACATACTCATTATGCATACATAGTGAGTGCCGATGTGATNATCAAATGTTATTCATGTCCAAGAACTGTTGTGTTTTATTGCCGTGACTTTGTTGTGTTTACGGCCCACCAAACTTGTCATAAACTGTAGTTTGTAGCTTAATTCTGTTCAGTAAACAGTAATAGTTCACAGTAAAATATGTATTCGCAACATTTGTTTATAAAAGAGACACCCAAGTGACTTGGTATTGTAATTGTTACATGGCCGCCGCATTTACAAGATCTTGTCATTTACAATGTTTGTAGTTGTGTTCTTCCAATCCTAAAGAAGCATGGTCGCTGTTTTCGTAGTTCTTTCCAATGAAAAGAACTTCAATCAGTATTTGTATGGAACATGAAAATCTAACAAATAAACTGTCAACAAATAAAAAGCGAGCACGCTTGGCGGTAGAAGGGACAAATTTATAACCCAGAAATATATTTGCTTGGATTTAAATTATTGCTTAATGCTTTCGCACTTGCTCGTCACGCAATGGCCGTTACCGCGCAACATGTGAGGGAGTCAACATGGTCAGAGTGTTAGAAATTCATCAGACAGCATTCAGTTTAATTACAAGACAGTACCGGAAAATAAACGAGAAGATTAAACTATCAACAGCCGCAACAAATCATTCCAACAGTATGAAACTACATATCTGGATAAAAAGAAATGTTTCCCGCTAGAAAACTCTTCTGGAGCAGAATGATTGGAGTATAGCGATCGATGGAATTGTCACAAACCGGTGTTTAAG